GCGGACAACAAACTGCAGAGGCATATTAGCACAGCTGCCGCTATGAAAACAATAAAACACACAGTAGTCTAAGGCGTTATTCCCCAACCTCTACAGTACTAGGCTAAAGACCTACCATAAAATGACAGTTCTTCCTTTTCTATTTAATCTCACCACTTTGACTTGCACGTTTCAGCGTGTGTCAGCAGCAGGACTGTCTGTGTGTCTGAGGGTAAAGTTTCCACTTGACGCCCGGGATGATAAAAATCCACTGCTCACATATTTCGCCACTGCTGCTAAGTGGGTGATCTATCACGCCTGAGTTATGCAATATCACACACACACACACACACACACACACACACACACACACGGCCAGAAATCATAACAGTGATGGTGACGGTGATGCAAGAGATAAAGGAGCAATCCACGTATTACAGCACGGCAGCGGGCCGACAGGCGGTGACAGCCAGGAGAGAGAGATTACTGGAACACACACACACTCAATCCCTCCCTCTCACACACATACTCACACTCAGAAGGTGAGATATGTCTTCCAGCATAGAGATGCGCTGTAATCTCTTTGTCTACAAGATACACTTAGATGGATGGTTAGGAGAGAGCGAGACAGAGAGTGTGTTGCAGTGCTGTAGTCCAAGTCTTCAGTATTATTTGAAACACTTTTTATATGGGCTTAATGTATAGTTAATATGTCTGTTTAGTTCTATGTTTGCAGGTTTTAATCTTTTTCAAGGATAGTTGGTATTTCCTTCTAGTCTTTATAAATACAATACTCACCTGCCATACAAGAGTTACTGGTTCATGATCATGCAAAATTACTGGAAAAATTAAATTGTAAAGTATGACTCATAGCCTACACACTCTCCTTTCTGTGCAAAGCTAATACAATGCTTCAGCAGTCTGAGTTAGCGATAGCAAGTGGGTATCTTTGTCCTAGATAATGCAGTGGTAAAGGGTCATTGCTGTGTTTTTTCTGTCCTGGAAACAATTGGGCCACCAACAAGAATCCCTTGGCCATGGCTTTGCAGAAAAAAAAAACACTGTTTGGGGCGCAACACAACAACTGTTACACTGAAATTCTGTGACTTTGGAAGACACCCACTTGATTTTAGAGCTACTTGCTGAAGCCAGCTCATATTTGCATTGGCTGAAGAAAAGCAGAGTTAGACAACCTTTCAACTTGTTGCCAATATTTTTTCTTAAGAATCTGGTCAAATTGTACAGATTACCAGTTAAACCAATGCAATATCACACTGCATGCATGACTCTAATAGATGTTTACATCTTTTTTTAAAGAAATAGTTCAACATTTAGGGAAATACACTTATTTGCCACTGAGAGTTAGATGCCTCTCTCTTGTCTGTACAGTAAATTCTCATTTGTTGCGAGACATAAAGTTAAACAGCATTACTGACATGAATTACATGGTGTACTCAAACCACAATGTTGTCTTAAACCTAACCAAACTGCAGCTATTTCACAACATTAACTACGTGTTTAACATGTGACTTATATGATAAGGCCTGTCGCTGGACTGGTGGGAAATGGTCATATGTGTCTTTTTGGGAGGCATTAACAAACTACCTATTTGGTTGTTTAGGTTAGTTAAAAATAACACGTTACTAATTAAATAGTATGGTTAATTAATAATTCCATACTGTCCGCACTGCAAATTTAAATCAAACTGGTATAATATAACATGAAAAACAAATTCTGCTCTGTTCAAAAATATAGTTGGCTCCCATGTGCACTATAAGGAGCAGGCTCATAAAGGGTCAGAACAAATTCATTTGTTCAAAATAGCACTTTCTTTGGCTTTATCATGGAGCCCATTCTCATCTCAGGGCGTCCAATACCAACGCTTTCAGAAAAAGTTACAAAGTACAGTTATGAGACGCTCTGGGGCATCTAGCTAGCTGGCTAGCAAGCTAGCTACGTTTGTGTTAAAGGTGTTGACAGCCCCCCGAAGCGCCCTGCCGTTAACCATAACCATCAGAAATGTTAGTGCGTAAACCTAAGTCACTGACTTTATGCACATCAACCGGCTGACCCTACAGCTGAGGAGCTGTGGAGCTGTGGAGGCTAACCCTAGCAGGCAGGGTTAGCCTCCTTTGTTTTGCTGTGATGTAGCAAAAGGTGACGTTTCATACGGACACTGAAGGGTACCTTTAGAGTAAAACAATTACGCTTAAGTTCCTCAAAGGTGCATTGGATCAGTGGAGTGCCCCATGGTTCTATACTGGGGACACTACTGTTTCCTGCCAGTGTTGCCACTGGTTCACATTATATGCAGATTCAATATTGATTTTCATTTTTATGCAGAATTAACTTTTTTTCTCTTTAGATTCTTTTAGTATTCTGCAAGATAACATGACAGAGCATATCACTGCAGTTTTAAAATCCTAGAGATCTTAAATACGTTTTCTTTAAACAGCATATTTGTTGTGAAAGATTCAAAAAGATTTTCAAATTTATTTTATCTTGAATATACAGTATGCTTACGTCTTTTACTTGACACATTTTTAGGTAAAGCACTTTGTTGTTGTTATTATTATTATTATTATTATTATTATTATTATTATTATTATTATTATTACAAGTAGTAGTGGCAGTAGTATAATTAATAAGCTTTTTCTTGTACAAATGTACTTCTCTGTTGCATATTCTTGACATTTAAAGCATTATTGCCATATGTAATATTTGCTGTTTTATGATAGACTATTGAGACTGTGTGAAAACTAAAATCACATCTTGTGCTCAGGGGGATGTGATTCAACAGAGTTTCATAAACTGTTTGGATAATGTCATTAATAACCTATTTAGATTACATGATACAAAACGTCCTGCTGTAGAATAACACTGTTTTTGCCCTGAGCTGGCCCTAACCTTCAAAGATGTATTTTCTGGTGGTGTTTCTTGTGGGGAGAAAACCAGCTTATTGTATGGTTGTGCCTACTGGCTCCCATGGGAACTACATCTACACAGTTTCAAATGTGTGCTCACAAGCAAGGACCTCAGTCGGGTTTGTCTCAGTGCAGCTTTGTATTTCTTATCATTATCACACAAAATGAGCATCATTGCCTAGGTAGACAGTTAGGTTTCCTTTACTACACTGATATAACATTAGTGTGGAAGCATCAGTCTGAGAGACTGAGAAAATCAGTAGGTCTCTGAATGATTCTATTGCATACTTTGAGGATCCCATAAATACTGAATAATAAGGCTCAGATAAAGAACTGAAAATTCCTTATTCTTAAGGTTACTCTTAAGGTTGTTGTCAGCCTATAAGATTGACATTCAACTACTGAACTGAATGTTTTATTCCACGCCATTCTGAATGCATCACATGTGTCATGAAAAGAAAAAGAAGGAGGTTTATCCAAATGTTTATATTTTTAGCTGTTGGTTTTTTTATGATAGGTGATGGAGCGGCATTTGGTTAGCCAAACTTGGCTGAACATTCAGCAGGGTTTATAAACTATGGGTCAAGACCCTGGTGGGTTTGTATTTCTAAAAAGTCAGGAAAGTATTTTCTTCAACTTGAATGTGTTTCACAATAGACAGTTACGGGCAATTACTATATATTGGCAGTGAAACTGCAATATTATAAATAGAATTTTTGTACACTTTCCTATGTGGTTAACTGGATGTGTTGCTAACTAAGTTATTTTTTTCTAAATCAGTGGGTTTGCAAATATCAGACATTTGAACATAGCCTACTATAAATGCTAAATAAAAATATATTATAAGTGTATTATTATTATTATTATTATTATTATTATTATCATGCAATTAGCCATAAACCTGCATTGAATGTGTAGCATAAAAAAATTGTCACATTTCGGTTGTTTTTTGGGGGGGCTCTTCTTAACACACACACACACACACACACACACACTATGCCTGTCACAGTGAGCCAGTCATCCTGTAATGGCTGCCACTGCTCATTGTTCACATCCTGCTTTGTCTTCAGCGCCATTTTGACTCTGCTGGAGGAGGAGGAGGGGGGGGGGAGGAGTTATTTTGCAACACACACACGCACACACTAATAGCATGGAGCTAGCCATGCTAACTCAGAGTTAGCTTCCCATGCATCCTACTAATAACTGGACAGAATTTGTAGTGCCAAGCTACACTTACAAATAGAGGGTGAGTTGTGCTTCACTGGGGTTAGCTCTGGGTCTCACACGCTGTCAGTAAAAGGTTTCATTGTGGTTACTCTGCTATTCTCACATGGTGAAAGCTCCTGCTGAGGAATACCCAGCGAGCTAAGCTAACTTGCAGAAAACAAAGATTCTGCTCTGGCCTGTTTCTCACATTATTGCAAATATCCTCACAACCCCTTCTTCACAGTTACCTCTGGGTGAAGTCACATGAGATGAACCATATATATATATATATATATATATATATATATATATATATATATATATATATATATATATATATATATATATACACACACACACACACACACACACACACATATATACATACTGTGAGAGAACTAGACGGGGCCATATTTAAATCTGTCCAAATTATGAGCCAGCATTTAAACATAAATAAGAAGGTGAAAATATTAAACAAAAAAAAGACAAGTATTTAATTTTAATGACAAACTGTATCTTAAAAATTAGAAAAGAAACAAACTGGAAATTATAGGCATATTGTTAATTGCAATGTATAAATGTATAAATGAATATGAAAATTATACATAGGCCTACCATCAAAAAATTTCAAATATTGCTTACTATTACAAGCAACAGCAACAAAATAATTTAAGAAATGATAAAATGTCTATCAATAAGCTGTTGAATACTCACTCTGATTAATATTTAGGCTTTTATAAAAATAAAAGTTAATTATTAATTATTAGTGATAGCTGCATAAAAATAAATGTAGCCTACTGCATGCCATATTTCTTAACTATTATTATATAAATATAAAAGTATTATATAGGTATTCAGCACTCCTTGAAATAAACAACATGGTCCACATCGTAATTGTTTGTGTGTTTTTTATTATTATTATTATTCCACTATGAAAATATATGTACAATAAATAATTTGGATTTTCACTATTAAAGAATCTCAATAAATAAACTAGGGTCTAAAACTCGGGTCATCAGCAGGGCTTCTCTCTCTCTCGTCTCGCCACGTTCAGAGAGAGAATGAATTAATTCTTCAGTTTCGAATTTGTAAGAGCAGTCCAGCTCTCTGCACCTAGACTTCGCGAACAGTTCCTGAGAAGTTATTAAGGATCCATGAAGCTGCACCAGAATGGACTAGAGGAAACAAATCCACGCACACTGATAAAGGTCCATCGTTTTAACAAAACAAAAAAATATCAAAAACAAGAAAGGCAATAAATACCTGAAATTTGGACATGAGGAGAGTAAAACATCCACCACTTCTCGATCGTGGAAAAAAAAACAATTTCCTTTCGGTGTTTAAAATAAAAAATGCATCTCTCTTAAACTACATTTAGCGGGAAAGTAAAACCAGCAAGAAGACGAAAAAATATATATATTTAAAAACGAACAGAATTTTCATTCAGAAATGTTTCAGGAATGTTGCCGAGAAGCTTTTATGCTTTTTAAACAACAGAGTCCTCGCCGAGTGCTGTCTCTTCCGCTCGATTGTTCATCCACACAGGCCTGTCCCTCCACTCCGTCTTTTGTCTTTTATTTTTCGTTTATGATTAAACGTTGCAGCTGGCCTCAGAAGTTGAGGTGCTGCAGGTCTATGGTGCACAGTGTGCTTGTGAACAGGTCGAAGTCCTCCTCGGAGAAATCCACCGGACTATCCAGGGAACTCTGGAGGCTGGGTGAAAGGCAGGCGTCCCCGGCGAAGAAGGTCAGATCGGGGAGCGCAGATGAGGAGGCGGCGGGAGGGGCAGCCGAGGAGGAGGTGATGGGCGAGTCCCGTTGCTCAGAGAATGACGGATCGGACGCCGCTACTGCTGCTGCGAGCCCGGCCTCGCTGAGCTGCATCAGGCCCGGGTTGTCAGCCGAGTTCGTCGGGGTGAACGCAGGCGGGGAGTGGTGAGATGCAGCAGCGTCCGAGGAGCCAGATGCCCCTGGCAGCGGTGGGCGTTCGGGACGGCTCAAACTGCAGCCCTCCTCCGGCGTGGGCTGTGCATTGTCCCCGCTGTCATTGGCGTAGGCGGTGGGAGCAGCGGCCGAAGATGGATTGCTGCTCCCCGGCTCGCCCTCCGATGTGGCCTCCCCGGTGCCAGATGCTTCCAGCGGCTGGCTTGAGTACGGGGATGAAGCATCGGCGCCTTCGAGCGGCTCGAACCCGCCCAGGTCGCTGGATTCGTGGCCTCCTCCACCGCCGTCCCGGTGGTGCGTAGTCTGGCGCTTGTGTTTCATCCGCCGGTTCTGGAACCAAACTTTGACCTGCCGCTCGGTCAGATCCAAAAGGGCGGCGATCTCTACCCTCCTGGGCCGGCATAGATACTTGTTGAAGTGGAACTCCTTTTCCAGCTCCAGCAGCTGCGTGTTGGTGTAGGCCGTGCGCAGCCGGCGGGACCCGGCTCCTCCACCATCCAGACCCGCATGACTTGAGTCTGCAGGGAGACAAAGACAAATAAAGGAGTGAGACAGAGAACTATTAGGCTATGTGGAGGATTTATTGTGCTAAATGTTGAGAAGCATTTCTATTTTTTTATTTTAATTTTGTATTTCATTTAAACTTCAAATCGTAATCCAGGCTACTTCACGAGAGCCCCGTAAAATCTCCACAATGTTATTGCGTGCAATATCTCCTGCCAAGAAATAAGCTGCTTCAGCATAGAACAGAAATTCCCTCGGTTCTTCTCGCTCTAATAAAACAGTAATAAAACACAAAAAGTCTCGTAAAAAATAGTCATTCCAATTAAGGTAGCAGCCAAAGCCGTAACTGCAAAAGCGGACCTTGCTGCTGGTGAAAAAATATATACACAAAAAACATAGATAAAGATAGATGATCACATTGTCAAAGTGGGTTTCCCTCCTCTGTAAAGCTTGGAGTACAGCGAGCCTGCTATGAGAGGCTGCAGCATGTGATCAGAGAGATGCAAAGACAGGAAAATAAATAAATCATGGGATAGGGAGGAAATGTGCAGGGAAATGTGGGAATGTCGATGAGAAGTGAACGTGGCGGTATCTGTCAGAAACATAACTATAAACCCCGAATGGCTTTATAAATGAGATCAGAAAAGGCAGGAAATTGGGCGAGAAGACGAGAAAACACACGAATTTCAATTCAAATGAACGGGATTTGGATTTTGCTTTTGAAGAAGCGATGAAATAAGAAATAAAGGGGGGGGGGGGGGGGGGGGGGGGGTAGAGATGCAGTGAATGTTATGGAGATCAGTGTAAAAGACAGAAATGACCTAAGCCCAAGAAAATCAGATTGTGTGCAGTCGGTATCCTGTGTGGATGTAGTCCAACCCCCCCTCCCTCCCCCAACCCCTACCCCAGCATATTTTGTCCAGTAGTTTTGCCTCGCCATTACATTTCCTACCTCCATCCAATATGGCCACCATCTCAGTTGTGTTATGAATGTATAATACCAGGACGATGCTGCTGCCGCCCGTATCACCACTCAATGAACAGAATGATACAAGCTGCAGCAGCAATCCTCTGCAGGATGCATAAAGACAAATCCCCCTCTGCGCGTCTTTACGCAGGATAAATATATGGACAGAATGCAATGCAATGAAACTTGGGCTATATGTGGTACATAACTAACAGGGTACTGGTCTGAAAGGTTTGCACTTAGTGCAAAGCTGGATTCTATATGGATCCCAAACAAATGACAGAGATGATGTGCGTAAAACATGAGTGGGTGCACATTTAAAGGCATGACGAGAGAGTGTGCAAAGCACTGCAGCACAATGCAGTGGTCTAGATATGGCTTCCCTGTTGACACAGCATCACAGCACTGCACAATACACACACACACACACTGAAGAAGAAAAAGACAATGTCATCTAACCACATCATGCTGTGTGTAAAGATGGTGGGTTATATCTGAAGTGGAACTGAAATGAAGATCCAGACAGAAAATTCAAGCACAGGCTGCACATCCCTTACACTCACACCACACACCACACCACACACACACACACACACACACACACACACACACACACACACACACATACTGGCTCTCCCATCCCAGTACCGACCTGTGGGGGACTCGATGCCCGCCGAAGCATACCCGGAGGCGGTCGGCGACGGGGAGGACGAGGTGGGGGGGATGATGGATCCGCCACCGCTGGAGCTGCTCCCAGGCTTGGGGCACTTCTTTGATGACTTCTTCTCCTTCATCCAGGGAAACTCGTGGGCCAGCGGACCGGCCGGAGAGGCCGTGGCCGTGCCAGGGGCCTGGCCGGCCGGGCAGGGTTGCTGGGCGGCTCGGTGGTGCGTCTGGAGGCCATTAGTGGCGGAGGTTCTCCGGTTCTGCTGGCTCCTAGCAGTCGGTCTCGGCTGGCTGGCTGTGCAGGGGCTGAGGCTGGGGATGGTGTGCTCGAAGGGAGGCGGAATTACTGTCGACTCCTTGATTGATGAAGTTTGAAATGACTCCAGGACGGCGGGGAAGGACGTCAGGCACTCTGCTAGGGACGGCTGGCTGTTTATAAAACCGATCTCCCTCTCAAATTCAAAATTCATAGCTCCCTCAGACCGGTTTCACCCTCAAACGGCGAGACCCCCGAACAATCCCTTCCCCAAAATAAAAAAAACAAAACACATAGCCTACACACGCACGCTCGCACACGCACACAACACAATATGGCTTCTTAAAAAAATAAAACGAAATGAAAAAACGCACGAGCACGTATGCCCCGACCGCAATGGCGTAAATGCGGTGGCTATATAATAATTGTGTATATTGGTGATATTACTAGCGTATGGGGACCTGGGTAGGCTAAACTGAAGAACTATGGGGCGAAATTGCAGCCAATTCCTGGTCATGTGACCCAAAACATCCAATCGGGGGCTTCGGCCTGGCGGCGGCGATGGATGTGGGAAGCAGCATTATTATTTTTCCACCAAACGCTGTGGCAAAGAGGGGCTGTATCACAGGATAGCCGCTATTGTTTTGTCTTAGCGGGGGGTAAATTCTGGGGAGAAAAAACGGGGAAGGCGGCGGTCGCCATGTGCGCCGTGTGGGCGGCGGGTCGGCGCATCCAGGCCGGTGTTACGCACAAACAATAGAGCATCTCTCGGAGATTTTTTCGGTCCTCTGGGTGATATGACAGTTAACATTGGGTGAGCGGAGCCGGCCAACACCGTTTACAATATGGCTCCTTAAAAAAAGCCTGCCTACTGTTTACAACACTCAGCTCATTAATCTTATAAAGTGTGACAGAGCCTGAAAATCCCCAACTTAGACACGGAAAACTTGGACAGGGTTTTAGATGGCGCAGCAGCTCAGGAGGAGAGGATGATGAAGATTTCTACTCAGCCAGCGGTAGTGAAGATGAAGCAGGTTGGCTTCTAACAGAGGAGAGAGACAGAAACTTAGATTTAACTGGGAAGAGAGGCAGTGAGCCTGTTGGTGTGTAAGTGGACATTTTTGTATTTAATAGACTTCTTAGTGCATTTAGGGTAATGCTTTTTTAAAAACAGCTGTTTCGTCCGTGCGTTCGTGTGTGTTTGTGAGACATAGAAACCTGCTGTCTAAATATAATCTCACTAAAATAGTATCTGCACGCAGGCTCCAAAATTCTTGGTCCAGGCTACCATGGTTCTCCCTCACCCTCTCGTTCCTATGTGATGTGTGTGTGTTAAAAATGCTCCGTGTGTTTACGCAGAGAGTAAGAGGGAGAGAGAGTTCACAGCGAGGTCGCTCCGTGCAGCTGGGAAAAAAGTAAAGGAGAGCGCAGGCCCCCTGTTCCTCCTAATAGTGAAATAATAATACAGCGACAATAATATGAATGCTAACAGTAAGTGAGAGTGTGATGATGGCCTCACGACTCAACAGGACGCACATGTAGATGTTTTAGAAATATCAGCAACTCGGGAATTTAAGCAGAGGGTATTTTGGGGAGGGCCCGAGGAGCCCCGAGTGGAAAAAAAGAAGTGCGGTGATCAATCTTTCTCTCCCTGCAAAGAGCCTGACAGCAGCCCCATCTCTCTCCCTAAATAACAAGAAAACCTCCAGTCTTTTTCTCTCCATCTCTCTCCTTTTAGGTCCAGTATTCGCCATGCTTGAATGTTTTTAACACTGCTTCTACGCGCAGCAGACACGCGCATATCATGCAGAACTATGTTATCTATTAAAAAAACTGATAAACACAAATTAATATAAGCTATTTAGCTCGCCCCCATTCTCCCTCTCTTTCCCATGCCATTTGGCTTCGCCCCCCAGGCTCTGAAAAAAAAAAAAAAAGAGGCAGAAAGAGCAGAAATGTGTGTGGGAGTGAGGGCCATTGAGAGCAGCAGAAAGCGCAGGCAGCGAGTAGGCCGAGGCTGCACGAACACACACAACACAGCACACACAAGCTGCTGACTGAGCTCCAGCACCACAACACTGCACCCGCACGGCCCCGTTTCTCTATCTCGTTTTGACTATGTCTGGAATTTTATCAACAGTATAGAGATTTTTTTTGTAAAATTACTACAAGTCTTTTTTTTTTTGAGTTTGGTGGAGAGCAGAAGCTGTTTTTTCCCCCATGAGACGCATGGATTGGCCGACTGAAGATTGGGGATTTTTGACTTTTAATTTAATTTAAGGTTGCTATATTTGATTTTGCAGTCACTTCATTTGTTAGGGGTACTGTTAATGGTAGGGTAAATCATGCATTTCCCTTATAGAAATTAGCCTACGTTTGAATTTAAATTTAAAATATGATTGCTAATCATTAGCCTGATATTTGATATTTTGATTGGTTCCACACATGTTTACGCTTTTTTTAAAGGAAGAAAAAAGCTTCCGAATTATCAGTTCATGAATTGTACTTCCTCATTCTGTTTATACTAAATAAAAGTAAATTTAAAAAATATTGTTATTATTATAGACTTTAGTCAAATTGATACAGGCTACAGCATGATGAATCAGGACATCTGTTCACATCTGACAAAGAACTTATTTGACAGGTTCTCTACCTAATACAGCCCATGTAAAAATCGTAACGTTATTAAATTGTAGTTATAACTTCTGAACACTCCAGATCAGTATGTGTGCTGTGAGCGTGGTTTCAGCAGTGGCTGCGTTCCCGAAGCCGAGCCGTCTGTTTTTATGAGGCAATAAATTAGATCCAATCTCTGCTTATTGGTGTTTTTATTGTCTGTTAGTCCAACGGAGATGTAAAGGGAAGTACGGCCATTATTTATGGGAGCTTGATTTATGTCCCAAGTTTTATGCCGCTCTCAGGCCTCAGAGCACACGCGCGAGCTAGAGAAGGGTCGCTGCGGGTTAGAGACCACGTGACCGGGCCAAGGCGCAGGCCCCGGGCTTTTTTTAGTCATATCAGCTAGCAGGAGGATCAGCATGTGTGGAAAAAGTCCAGAACGCAAGAGAGAAGACAGAACAGTTAAGCTGAAGTGATCTCTGTTTTTAATGCTCTTGGTTCCCATGCTGGTTCAGTATCCATACTACATTATACCACAGGTATAAAGTCCTCTATCTGTTGAAAAAGGTGGAACTTGGAAAATGGACAGGCAGTTAACAGTTAATTATTAAAAGCAGTCAGCAATTCAATTGTCAATAAGTTAGTGGAATAGAAAAAAAAGTCAAGTTAAAACTTATATATAACTCCAGCCTACAGCAAATTATAAAACACTCTCTAGCCTGGTTTGGGAATGGCTTATTCCCAATGCTTTAAACCATAAGTACATTTGTTTGTTTTTTGCCAAACTATTAATTCCAAGTTCAAGAAGGAGCTCTCCCTCTATTATATATATTGTTGAATGCAATGAGTGTTTATGCAGAGGAACAGATTTCCCTTGGGTGAGACTCCTACAGAGATGGTTTGGGGTTCATTCTGGTTTTAGTCCAGTGCTGCTTCGGGTTCAGGTTTAGAGGTCAGATAGGGTTTCAGTGTCCTGCTCTAAGGACACATCAGCAGATTGCGTGTTTGAAGGTCGCCTTGCTGCCAACTCGCTGCTACAAATAATTGGTAACATGAGCTTGAAAATAAATGAGTTTTATAATTTTAAATCACAGGCTGCTTTCAGTTTTCCAAAAACTGTATCCTATTTTTGTAGAGAAATGGACTCCTAAGGGTTTTCTTTTGCTCCAGTGACAGTTATCACTCCTGAATACGTGTCACGAGCAATGCTGTGAGGGTAAATTTGATATTGATGCCAGGCTAGACCAAAGCTATCTTTTGTGTTTCACTCAATCCTAAAATTAAATATGGAGCCTCATATCAGATCAACAGTACGCTGAAGGGCCTTGGATATTGTCTTCTGGATTGTTATGTTATGTTACATCTATGTGTTGTTGTCTTGATTTGGGTCTCTTCTGTGATGTTGCAAAGAGAGTGATGCAAGGGGAAACACAGACAGTGTCAAAATCAAGTGGCAACAGGTATCAGGTTTTAGATAATACTTGGATCTGACCATAGATGCAGCCCAGTGTCTGTTTTGTCCTGGTATGGTAAATGAATACCAGCCGCCAGCAAAACAGTAGCATAATAGCTGCAATTAGAACATTTGTATACTCTGCAGCCACTTTGCCAAGAAACCACTGTCTAGTTTGTAAAGCATAAATGAGGCTAAAAACAGAATATAAGTTTTCCTAAAGGTTAAAGATGTTTTCTTTTTATTTCTGACATGTTACATGTGGCTCTTGGCTTCAGATTTCATAATTGGGAGTGTTTTTCTGACAGTGATATCATGCTGTAGCCCCAGGTATCGACCCGATATTCAATACTGGCATCAGTGTCAGGTCATCCCTCAGCCAGAAACATGCTGTTTGAAAGAAGTCACACCAGATCTGGGATTTATGAACAGTGTTTTGTGTCCTCAGCCATCACATCGTGGTAGAATATAGGTGAACACAGACCAATTAGTCTGCATCACATAACATAAAATGTAAACTTATCAGTATAAAGCAGTGAGGGCAGCTGATTTTAAAAAGTTCAGTGGGTTGAAAATTCTTTTAGAAGAATATGTGAACCTTCAAAGTTGATCATCAACAAAACTATGTACCGCTTACTTTAAACGTTTGAGTTTTAATCCTGGTGTGAAATTATTTGCATATTTTCATAGTTTATGAATTTTGCCACAGCTGTCAGCCAAGTGGAGTACAAAGGGCTGTTTATATGTTGCCATGACAGTCAGTAGAGTTGGTGCTGGCAGGGTTTTCACCTGACAGGAGCACAGCCTAACAAAATGTTACAGCCGTTTCAGATGGAACTTTCTAGGTTTTCGGGTTGATGATGTTTTTAAACATCTGGAGTCTTCACTCCTGAGAATCATAAAAAACTGACGATAAGCTCTGAATAACATAACATTTTATTAAAGAATTGTTTGACAGACAACTCTCTCAACAATGAAAGAAAAAGGAGCTACAAAGGACAAAGAAATAAGTTTTTTTTTCTCCAAAAAGACTTCTTCTTTTTTCCAGCTAATAGTTTGTCTAAATTTTCCGACTATGCACGGATGGGTCACCAATCCCCATCCTTGCCTTTTTCCCTGTACAAGCCAAGACATTTATGTACAAGGGTCATTATAGGAACATAAAAACTACTTATTTTCTTCTAAAATACAAGAACTAAAAAATGTAACTTCAGTACAATGGACAAGAAGAACACAACGTTGTTTTTTTTCTTTCTTAACAGGTAAATACTAAAAAAGTACAGTATTTTTTCTCGATATAAATACATGAAGGATAAATAATAATTATACAAAACAGAAAGTATTTTTAAACTGGCTATAACAAATAAATATTTATATATGAATGTTCACTTGAACACACATTGGCGAAAGACGCTTTGATTGGAGGGCCTTACGTCTTCAAAATAAGATTTTATTATTATTTTTACCTTTAACCATCAAAATGTAAACTCTAAGTGCAACAATGATGCCCAGATGTGAAAAGCGTTTGTGTAGATCTGCACTTTTAAAAACCACATCACAGGTTTATTTCCAGAACAGCAGAGAGTGTAGTGGGAGTCAGACACACACAGCTTGTTCCCAGTGTTGAACACTGGCTGAAACACTCCTGTAAGGGCCTTGTGTGTGTCCTTCCAAACTCCCCTCACTGATGGTTCAAACAAATAAACCCATTTGTTTTCAAAATGTACGATACACACCAGCTCTCGTCTCTGGACATGCATTTTTGTTCAAATATATACCCTGTATCCACGTTAAAAGTCAAGATATGCAAGAACAAAACAAAACTATGAAAGTGAACCCTTCCAAAATGATAGTGAGAGAGAGAGACAGAAAGAGAGAGAGAAAGAGAGAGAGAACCAAACATAAATAAATAGTGTTCTCCACTCTTATTAGTTACCCTGTGTCGATGATGTGCTAAAACAAGAACATTAAAAATGTCTCTTCCGTGTCCTCTCATGTGTTTGTTTGAAGATGTCAACAGCTGGTGTAGCCTGGCTGTGGATGTGTCAGCGAAAGGAAGCTAGCTTAGCATTGCTGTGTGTGTGTGTGTGTGTGTGAATAATGAAACAGTGATTAGCTAACATAGCTTAGCACAGATGTGTGTTCGTGGGAGCTAGTTTAGCCTTTGAGCTTGTAGCTTCTTAAACCCTGTAAGAGTGATGGGAGGGTGGTGAGTGCATTTGTGGTGGTGGTGTGTGTGTGTGTGTACGCGTGTGTGTGTGGGGGGGGGGGGGGGTGGAGGGTGGTGGTCTGTGGCGGATTGTGAGAAATTTTGCCTCCTTCAGAAGCCATGTGCTGCTGCCACAGACAGGAGACGGTGGGTTAGTAGTGATTCAGTCTGGATGGAAAGAGAAGGGTACAGCAGGAGGTAAAAAGAGACAGTGAGGGGGGACCATCCAGTGGTTTTTATGTGCCTTGTGGAACGAGGGGAACAGAGGATGATGAGCGCTGCCAGCTCGAGCTATATATTTCTGTTCTCCCTCTCTCTCCGGCGATGGAGAGGCAGAGCTCTCCACATAGCTCAGCTCGGCTGACAACAACATGTGTTGCCTGGAGGGGGAGAGAGCTCAGCGTCATAAATCTAGCCACCTCGTTTACTGCCCATTAACATCTCAACTATTTCATTTACCAGGCGGGAGAGCTGTTTGTATATGTGCGTGTCTTAGGGGGGAGATTTTATTATCAAAGTACAATTTTAAACTAGCTCTAACAGAGCCCTTACAGCCTTTTTTCTTTTACAACATGCTAGCTGAGCTATGCTTGCGATTTGCTCCGCCCATGATGTATTAAAAGTCCAAAGAGGAAGACTTTAGTACTTAATGATACAACTTAAATATACCATATTATACAGAGAGATTTTTCCTTCCCTTTAGATTTATTTTTATTTTCTGAGAAATAGTGTTCACCAAAAACTGACATCTCGCCGTTTTTTAGATTGTAGAGTATTAGTCTAATGAACACTGACTAAACAGCGGTGCTCACCATAGATCCTGTTATGCCGTACAGCTGCATATGTCTCTGCACCAGTGCCATGAGACGAGCCCCCTGACGTTTATTGTCCCCGGGGGGACGTGAGAGACAATTGACTGTATACCACGTCTCCCACACCTACAATATGCTTCACTGCTCTGGGACCAAGAAATACACTCAGAGTAGACTGTAAATTGCTCTAAAAGGATTGATGTTAAAAGCATGGGTAAACGGAACCAAGAGTTCAAAAATGAAACATATATCACTGATAATGTATATTAACATTAAGCAGCTTTGAATGTGTAAGTTAAATTAAGCAGCTTTTTTATGGGAAGGTAAAACATTACACAGTTAAATGGTTTAAACGTTTTCTCCCCCCTGTATGACGACGTAAGGTTTCAGTAGTCCAGATTCATATTCCTTATGTGTGTACACATACTTAGTTAAAAAAGCTGAATCCAATTCTGAGTTAGTAAGTATGGTCCCAGCTTAATTTTCTTTTTGGCAGCTACCATTGATTTCAGTACTTTTACAGCAGATTTGTCTGACTCTTTTGACAACATGAATAGTTTGGGTCGATCTCTGCTACTTGATAATAGGCACAACCTTTGTATTTTTAAAATTAAATTAAACGCTCTAGCAATAGTAATAAGAATTGACGGAGCTATTGGTGAAGGCAGTGAAAACAGGGTGGGCCTGGAAAACAGTGATGGTTCCCCTCTGAGCACTGGACAAACCACTGGATGGCTCCTGTCTGTCTAGTTCTGTCTGTCCTGCCGTCCCATTGCAGCAGTAGAGTCCCCACATGTTAGTTAGTTTGTTAGTGAGTCACGTCGTGTTACGTGTTCTCTGTCGTCTTCACTATTTCCTACGTTGTCATTTTGTTCCAAACCTGCTACAGGTGAGTGAGCTTGGGTGCTTCCTGGATTCTGCCCTGAGTCGAGGTGTGGTGCGCCGACAGCTCGGTGTACGTCGGGTGTGTGGGCGGGTCACAGGGACCAGGGGGTCCCCCTCCGCCCACGTGGTGCTGGTTGGTGGCCGACATGGGCCCCGCGCCATTGTAGTCCATGGTTTGGTGGTGGGTTTGCGTGGGGCCGAGGTGGTTTAGCCCATACATGGAGGGCCCCGAGCCAGGCATAGGTTCCACATAGCTGCCACCCCCCACATAGACTGGACTGGCTTGCATGTTGGTGGGAGTCCCGTATCCGGCGGTGTTGGCCTGCACTAGGCCATGGTGGGGATGGGGGTCACCGTAATCCGGGTCTGGGGCGCCATACTTCTGCTGGGGGGGGCAGCCCTTCATGGGGACATTGGAGTAGGCAGTGGACATGGAGTAAGATACTCCCTGGTGGGGCTTGCCGAAGGATGGCGGAGATGGGACGTCGTAGCCTGCACCTCCTCCTCCGCCTCCCCCTCCCATGGGGTGCATTGAGTTGAGGAAACTGGCGGAGGACTGCATGGGCAGGGGTGGGGAGCCAGTCGGTGAGGGCCCTCCAGAGCTGGAGCTCAGGCCCTTGGACTTCTGGTCCTTCTTGTACTTCATGCGTCGGTTCTGAAACCAGATCTTGATCTGGCGTTCGGACAGGTTGAGCAGGTTGGCCATCTCCACGCGCCGTGGCCTGCACAGGTACCGGTTGAAGTGGAACTCCTTCTCCAGCTCAACCAGCTGGGCGCTGGTGTACGCCGTACGAGCCCGCTTTGATGATGCTGATGACCCGCCGGTAGGACTCTTCTCCCCGCTGCTGCCACTCTCCGCTCCTCCTGATGCTGAGGAGAGAAGAAAACGTTACAAAAAATGTAAAATAGAGGGAAAATTTACTGAAAAACTGGAGAGGATGCAGGGAAAAACACATAAATCTTTTAAATCTTATTAAATAGAATTAAAAGTAAGAAAATAGAGTAAAGAGAGAGCTAGAGAGGAGATCAAGAGAGAATAAAACACACCCTGAGTGTGCTGCATGCATGCTGGAGGAAATTGAAAGCATTCAGGTTCCTAATAAAGCAGAAGGGGGTCCGGGCAAGCGGGCTGAATTATCCCTTGATATTAGTCGTCATCACTTCATAACAGTGGCAGTTATTAAGAGACGGAGGGCCGGCGCTTGCCGAGGGCAGCTAAATTGCATCTTGGATGAAAAGACAAACCCCCGACAGCAACAGCAGATGCAGCACAAGGACTACGAGCAGGAACTGATGTTGATCTGCACTCTCATGGCCAAGAAAAGTCAAACTTCTCCCCATGTTTAGACTCCTAATAGAGCCTAGAGCTTCAAATCCACTAGCTGCTTTGGCTGCTTTATGAGACATTTTTAAGTGAATAAGACTTGAGATGAGTGTTGGTTATCTGACACAAAACAGCTCAAATAGTCTAATACACTAGCCACAATGAAGTAGCATGTAGCTGATGTTTATCCTCCCTCATTTCCATCAGATCTGCAACAAAGTGTTCTGCCTAAAAATTGTTCAAATGAAATGTTTGCGCGATGCTTCACATCATTTGTTTGCATGCCATACAAGCAGAGTAACCTCAAATTAGCTACTGTCACTTCTTTATCAGTCAGATGTATGCTTAGACAAAAACAGCCTGGGTGTTCAGATTTGTGAGGGCTGCAGATAAGAGTCTAAAGCCACTTTCACACTTTTACTAACAAAAAGAGAAGAAAGATAATGATGATTTGGCTACATAAATAGCAAAACTGAGGCTCTATGTTCTATTGGTTATGAAAACACTGTAGTTATCAAAGTAACAGCCGAGATATTGGAACATGTGCAGCGGGTGAACAACCAGTTTAAAAGGTACACCTAGCTGAAATTGATGCAATACTCCTGTAATAAATTCTGTGTTTAGAGATGTCTTGATTCAACTTTGATTATTTTGGAGGATGTGGTTTGTGGTGCGGTTAAATTATGTTGCATCGTACTGAAGGATGTTCCAACCCATTTATATCAAAGGGGCAAGAGTAAATACTAGAAACACCTGTCAGTATAACACAACAGCACCACAAGCTACATCCTCCAAAATGATCATGCAGTACTATAGGTCAAAGTTGAAGCAGGGAGTCGGTCTCTAAACTGTGATGGATGTTTAGTTTTGGTGCTCGCCTTTGTTTTCTTCACCAAAGAAATGAGACTAACCCAAGAGTTTGTTTACAACCTGTCTGATCAGCCGGACACTTTGGTCATTCCGTGTGCTACGAGTGTAAATGTGAAAAGCCACTGCATCATTTGAACCCAGCGATCCTGGAGGTTCCACGTGTCAAAATGACTTAGATGCTCGATGGTTGGTTTGCTGTTCGAGTAAATGGCAGCTAAGGTAAGCTAGCTTAAACAGCAACATGATACTTTGCTAGCTCTGGGCTGGTGCTTTTTCCATCTTGACGTTTATTCCATACTGAACAGTAGTGCTGAAATACAGCGCTCTTCCATCTCTCTCTGTGAGTTTGTCCAATATGCCTCTGCTACAAATGAGCTGTGCTTATAATGTGTTCGTACAACTTAACAATTGCTGATGTAGTTTGGTTCAAAGCAAGCACTGAGATGTTTCTATCGCTCTCTCAACAGTATAAACAGTTGACTCGAGTGTTTGTTTCTATGGACAGTGACAGAAAGATCACAGAGTTAAGCATCACATCATCTGTCTCAGAGCAGTGACATTCTTGAAATGATAGCTTAAAATTCTCCTCAATAAACAGCCTAATCTCTTCTCAACTCTGTGCCCCGTCAACTAAAAGCTTTTTGAATACGAAGATGAGACTATATTCATTATAGCAGAGCAGAAGATATTTTTTCTCATTGATAACAACCAATTCAAACAACATATCTGTCTGCCTCAATTCGCCCATTATCAAACATGCAGATGATATTCAAATGTATCATTCTGTTGTGGTTTTTTTCTTCATTTGCTGATCTTTCATTTCAAATGTCTACTTGTCATTCTCCCTCTCTGTGCAAATCTTTTCATCTGTTATCGTACATGACGTATAAATTCATCCTGTTAATATCTTCCTTCACGCAGTGCTTTTCCAGGGAGATGCCAAAAGCAGAGGAGGAGAGAGAGGAGGAAGAAAGAGGGGAGGAAGGCAAATAATAACCAGAGGGTGGAGAGCGAGGAAAGGAGAAGGAGGTGCTGGGTGAAGAGCAGAAAGTAAATGAAAGAAGGAAGGTGTATAGGCTATTGGCTGCTGGTGTGTGGCAGCTGGCTAGCTAGACTGTCCTATAATTGACTGTACTGTTACAGTAATGACCCCATGGCTGCTCAGTTGTCATTGATAAGAAAGTCAGCTTAAAGACCAATTGCCGTGGAAGTTTCTCTATCGAGTCCAACTTTTTTTGGTGTTTTTTTGACTTTGCCCTATCTTTCTCCTCTGCTAGTACTGAACCGATCCTGTTATTATCCTTTTCAACAACATCCAAGATACAGTATAACATTTCTCAAATGTGGTTTGAGGGGGACTTATTAGTTGGAATTATTTCTTGATGAACAACACTATATCCATCTGCCCAGTACCTCTGTGCAGATTCCCCTTCTATAGCGGCAGATATTTGCCGGATGTGGTCCTTGAACACAGGTTTAAGTATAGATCTCTGTGCAGGCACAAACCTGGCAACTTCATTGTGACGACAAGTCTCCAGGAAGTCCCTGCACTTGACTGTTGTTTGCCAAAAAATTCTTCCTGCACGTAAATCCCACAAATTGTTGTTTTTACATGTGTGTATGTGTAAAGATTAAACAAAGGAAATACAATGTGTTTATTTGTTAGCATTAGTTGGCACTATTCAGACGGAACCAGGCTAGCTGTTTGCCCTTTATCATCTAAAGAAAGCCCAAAGGTGTATTTTAGAATGTTAATTTGTTGAATCTCACATGAACACGCCATATAAATAACTGTCCTTTTCCTACAAGTAAGTATATAGATTTTATTTGCCATTAAAGTTATACATTTTCTTTCAGCTTTTTACTTATTTACTTGAGCACTCCTCTAGATTTGTAGGAATATTTATCAGACTGCCGTGCCCCTGACCATAAACTTCTTTTACTCGTCTCTGCTTGCCATATTTAGGGATTTGAAAGTTACTCTACTGATGGGCTTTAGTCTTTCAAAGCACTCAGCCAAATAAGTTGTTAAGAACCACCACAGCCTCATACCTAAACGACAAAATAAGTTGACTGTCAGTTTTCCCAAAACGACTTATATGACCATTCCCCAAAACAGGCATGTACGAGTACCAGTACAGCGACAGGCGTACCGCACTCTAAGTACATCATGTAAGTCACGTTTAACACGTGGTAAACATTGTGAAATGGTCACAGTTTGGTTAGGTTTAGGCAACAAAACTAGTTAATTAGGTTTAGGAAAAGATTGTGTTTTAGGTTTAAGTAAGTACATTATCTAAGTCACAAGACATAAGTAATGTAAGTCATATGACTCAAGTGACATAAATCACATGCTTAACGTTATTTAATCTCCGGAGTGAAAGTCCTGTGTTTGTTTAACACATCCATCCACCCCACCACCTGCTTCCGCTCTTTATACTATGTCACTTGACTTTGCCACTAGAGGTTTGTAAATATGGGTCATAATAAGCTATAATAATTAACCTATACAGCCGTTTTTCTGGTGAAGACAGGCTGTAAAAAAATTGTAAAGCAGAATTTATTTAGATTTTAGGCTTGTGCTTCTCAGCCTTAATGCAAACATTGCTTTCGCAGGGAGATGTAGGCGATACATGCTTTAGTGAATCCAGCTCACCAGCCAAACCATCGAATTTAAAAGCTATAGATGCCTAAAATTAACTTAGACCAGTGCAGACTGACCTACCAGCTACAAATAAAATAATAACCAGTGTGACTAGTTGCCTGTGGTAATTTCCCTGTCTGAACCAGTGCCTGTGGAAACTCGTTTTGCCATAATTGTCCAAGAAACCTTTTAAATCCTCTGGGGATCTGGGGCTTGAAAGAGGATGTTGATAAGAGAGGTGAGGAAAGAGGGATGTGGTGATGGGAAGGAGAAGGCAGGATAATGGGAACAAAGACGCTAATGAGGAAGGAAAATGAAGGAAGAACAAAATATAAGGAGAACAGAAGGAGCTGAGGAAAGGAGTGATGAGGGAGAGAAAGAAAGAGACTGGTGCAGGAGGAATAATTATTATGCCAAGCCATGTTGTTTCTGTGGTGCTATGGGAGCAAAATCAAAGCAAAGACAGACAGAGAGACAGAGACAGGTGTAATCTAACACACCATTGCCAGAGTTGTTGCTGGGTGAACAGTTTTTCTGCTTGGTCGTCTGCCGACTCTCTTTCATCCAGGGGAAGATCTGCTTGGCCATGGACGGGTTGGGGGGCAGTGAGGAAGAGGAGGACGATGTGGAGGATGATATGGAGGCAGAAGAATTAGACGACTTATTGGGGCCTGATTTAGAGACTGAGGAGGCCCCAGCACTGCCCCCCGGCTGCTGAGCCCCGGTATTACCGTTGCTGGGGTTGGGGGGCAAAGGAGGGGACACCTGGGAGCCAGGGTGGTGCTCAGGCGGCAGGCTGGGCCGCATGCAGCTGCCATTCAGCTCCTTGGTCTTGGCTAGCTGCTGCGGCTGCTGGTGGCCGCCGTTACTGCCCAGCGACTGTAAAGAGCAGGCAGAGCGCTGGTACGAATCCACATCCAGATGGGTTGCCGACTGGAAGGCCGGCTGGTGGTGGGACACTGGGACCGGGGCATCATAGCCCCCAAAGCCATTGGCGGCTGCTGCCGCTGCTGCCCCCTGCACCTGGTAGGATGAGTAGCCACCGAAAAGTGTTGAGGAGTTGTCGTAGTATGTTGTCTTCTGCATTTCTGAGAGAAGTGGCGGCGTCTTCTTGTGCTCCGGTCCTTGTTGAGAGCCACTGCCGGAAGACCATTTGGTACCGGGGGTCACGTGACGGTGTCTCTCCAACGGTCCCCTGCAATCTGACCTAAAAGGTTAGGAGAGGCAGAATAAAGAAATAAGAGAGATAAATCCATCTTCCTCCAAAGAAAGGCGCCATGACATGAATAGAAACCACTGCTTTTCTTTTCTCACCCCCCCCACCTTACCCTCCCCCTCCCTTCTGAGCCTAGTGCACAGCCTGCAGATGCTCTGGTGGAGGGGGCACAAGGAGGGCAAACTGTGTTCCCTCTCTGTACTCACACACACACACACACACACACACACACACACACACACACCCATGAAAAGACCATCCACTTATTAGTGTTAAATTTCCATTGAAATGTTACCTTAAGTCACAGTAATTAAATGTTAATATTATGATTATGATGATTATTATTATTTGTAGTAATTTTATTAGTAGTAGTAGTATTAACATACTAGCCTACCCACTCTTATTATTAATGATGGCTGTAGAATTATTTGTTTTGATAATTGTGTTATTCACTAATTATTCTCATTTTTCAGCAGTTCATCCAAAGATAATGACGATGCTTGACATTTAAATTTAAGAATAAAATGAAATAAATGAATATCCTTCTAGTATTGTTTTAAACATTACTAGTATTTTTCTACTTAGGCCTATTCGATAATTATGTTCTGTAATAAAGCACTACCATGCCTGGTCTTGTTCATGACATCTTGTTGTGTAATGGCGGCAGTGAATGTGGCCTGTATATATTATCCTTTGTGACTGATGTAGGTAGCCTATTTCTATCAACCTCTGCCTTACACACATGATTTACTGTATTCCGTCTGCTCGGCTATTACCTCACTCATGCTCTCTAGGAGTCTATCTCCGGAAGCGATCGTTGCTGCTGAATAACAGGCCACTTGCATCACAGTTTTAACATGTCAGAAGAAACACGGGAGTAACGCGTATTATTGCATTATTTATTGTTTTAGATTTTCTAAACAAAGAAACACAGAACACGCAGCCTATTAATGGTACTTCAAATGTAGGCTAGTCAAAAAAACAAATCTCTATGCTGAAGAAGGGGATCTCGGGAAATATTTCTCAAAACATTCTATTTGGATTTTTGGACAAGGGAAATCTGGGGGTTTTAACGATACAAATAATATCCAGACACTTCCATTTGGTTAACATGGTGGGCCTAAAATAAATGACAAAATGAATAGGGTAAATAACGAAAACACTTGGACTTGGGTTTACAAATAGAGGCCAACAATATAGACTATTTAAATAGAAAGACAGAAAGAATCCCCGGAAGAAGCTTCACGAGTCAGTGATTCATTAGGGTCGAGTGGTCAGAGTGCTCTATCATGGCCCCTTAAGGGAAAAAGAAAAAGGAAAAAAAACAGCAGTGTGAGCCCCCATAGAGTCCCTATCTTGCGCTCACCACTGGGGTGGGCCTGTGGCCGGCTTGTCAGGCGCGAGAGAGCACCTGGCATTCATTCCTGCTCTGGAGATAAAATGTTTAACGGAGGAGAAGCAGCTCCACTGGCTCTGCCACCAGACTTAGCTCTCTGGGTGCTAGCCCACACAGACATTATGTAGCCATCAGTTCTATTTAATACTGTCTTAAAATTAAAACTACTTGTGTGTTTGGCGGACATTGTGGACAAATACAGAAAAACAAAGAAATAATGTGCCCGTGTGAAGATAATACTGTCAGACATATGCTACAAAAAAACAGAAATTATGTTGGCTACTTGTAGGCATATGGCTTCTCGATTTCAGGATTTATGTAGCCTACTATATTAGTAGGCCTACATTTTGAACGTTATAGAATATATGCCTAGAGTATAGGCTGCATTTCCTAAATAAATAAATAAAACTAAATAAATAAATAGCAGTAAAAAGAGAGAGAACGCATGCCATAACAAGAAGGTTATGTTTTACACGAAAAACCAACTAATAAGTCAGTCCTATTTCAGCTGTGAATGTTTTCCTAACTGATTAAAATTTCGCTAAAAGAACATAGTTTTCTTTTAAAAATATTACGCTACTATTATAGCCTATTTTTTTATCAGACAGTCCAGCCCTACTCTAGCTCTCAGCACATCACACATGTCAGCCATTTATCTTTCCAGTAGACAAGCTGGAATCCTAATTATTTACTCTGAGGAATAGTCCCAATGAGAGAGAGAGAGAGAGGGGGAGAGAGAGAGAGGGAGAGAGAGAGAGAGGCCGTGGCATTGAGTGTAGGAGGAATATTTTATTAAATCATATCGCTGTTTCGCCATTAAAAGGGACACGTAATGTCTCTGCCCCTAGCTTGTAGGGCTACAGCTTAATACAATCACCAACTTTACTAGACGCCTCCCTGAATAATCCACTTACTCTGACAGAGAAACAGCCACCCAAACAAAAACAACAGAGAGAGAGAGGGAGAGAGAGGTCGGCCTTGGTGTCCAGTGTCTGTGTCTTATCCTGGCATATAAAATTACAAATGGCGCCTGCTATGAAGCGCTATGCAGGCAGGGAGACAGAGAGAGAATGCATTAACTTGGACAATCCACGTATTCCTTATCCCATTAACAGACCGGGGGGGAGAGAGAGGGGCCAATTACATGGGGCCGAGTCCAGAAACAATAAAGGACTGGCCAGGTCAGAGCTATTGTTGCTATGTCCATGGCCTGGATTTAGGCTGGAATCACCAGAAAATGAAGTCTGCATGTGTGAATAAAATAACAGCATCTGGACATATTAATAAGAATTAAATTAGCTAAATGTCAGATAATCGCAAAATAACAGTATGGAGGCCCGCGGGGAAGAAAAAAAAAGGTAAAACGCCAGGGAGATGTGGATCATAACCATAAAAAAAATGGTCAGCCATTGCTTTGTAGCCTAAATAAATAGCTGTAAGTGAGGACGAGCCATGGACAGAATAGGAGGAGAAATTAGAAAAACAGGAAGAAAAAGGACAGAGATGGAAGGCCGAAAGAAGGAGGGGGGCTGCTTGCGGCTGGGTATAGTTACGGCAGCTTAAAGCATTGTGAACTCTTCTTGAACCGGGATTGAAGTCATATGGGCCATAAATCACTGAGCCAGCCACTCCGCCGTTCACAAACTGCACACCGAATAAACACACTCTGTAGCCTATTTCTGGTTTGTTGTTGAGCTCGTGCATTACCGGCTGGCCTGCCTGTCGGTGATGCTCCTTACCTTACTTAGCACCGGTTGTCCCGGTCCAGTCCGGCACGGACCCAGCAACACCGCATCACAGATTAGTCCTCACGCACATTCACTAGGTAGCCTAATCAATAACAATAATAATAATAAACAGTCATTAAATAAATAATTAATCCGCTCGGTTTGCCTCTCCTCCTCTCTTCTTCTCTCGCAAACTGGCTGCTTCTCCCGTGCTGTCTTGAGACTAGCACGGCTGCTCGCCACCACCACCACCACAACACCTCCTGGAGCCAGCAGCGGCAGACCGGGCTGCGCGAGGGCGGCGAACCGGGCACCGTGTGGCATGTACGGATGGCGGATGAGCGAGCTGGACGGAGTCAGGACGGAGTCAAGACGTCGGTGGTTGGGGGGTGGGGGGTGGCCTCGGTATACGGGAATTAACGGAAAGTCTTGGTCCAGGCTACAGGCAGGCTAGCTAGCGCACGAGCTGAACGAGCTCACCGGGAGCCTGCCTGATGCCTGCTCGCGCCCCCCACCCCCCCACCCCCTCCGCCCCAGCACCAGCGCTGCCTGCACCGCTGCTGGCTGATAACAATGGCCTCAGATTTCTTTATTTTTTAGCCTCTGTCGCTCACACACCCAGCCACCCAGCCAGTCAGACGGCTTCTGAGGAACAGGTCCGCCACAAAATGTCACCCCATCGCATTTTGGGGTGGTTGTTCGTCCTTTTATTTCCCTTCTCCTTCTCGCCTCTCTCCGCCTCCCCGGGTATCCTGCCTCTCTCCCTCCGTGTCTTCCTCTCGGTCTTGGGTCTGTGCTCCCGCCTCGCTTCGGACTCTGGGAGGCTCTTAGTTTGTGTTCTTACAAGGCTAGCAGCAGGAGTAATAGCCGAGCAGTAACGTTAGTAGCCTAGTCGTGGTATCCTAGTCGGTATTCCCATCATGTTGTTCACAACTAGAGACCGGGTATCAGCAACGCTCACGGACAGCCATGTAACGGAGGAAATAACAGGGCTTGACTTGTGGACGCGTTGATTCCCCCATCAAACAGCTCAGCGTCACTCACAAATTATGCTAATTGCACTGGTTGGTAGTGAAACAGGCAGGCAGTAAAGTTGGCCCTACAGCAGGGCAGAGGCTAGCCTACTTTCCTGTGTTTGTCAACCAATAGTTCAGAATCAAAGCTTTCAAATTGGACTTTTTTTCTAGCTATAGCCTAGGCTAAGCATTTATGTTCAAATATCCTGTAGCCTACAGCTGGCTGTTTTCACTAGGCCTATGTGAACTTTGGCATAACTTTTATGCAATAGGCTGTAAAACATGTTGTTTCATGAAAATGAGAAACTCTTATTTTGCCCTTACATTTTCCCTACCCTGTTAAACACTGATTTCAAACAGCATGGGCCTCTTATATGGGTAGGAGAGTCCATATTTACACTTGTCATTATTTTCTAATGAATAAACCAATATATCTTAAATTAGACCTAGATGCAGGCCTACAAGGTTAACTGTATGTTTTGGTCATGGTATTGTTTAGGGTGGGCCAGGGTGAACGGATAAGGACAGAAATAATAGTCTTAGACAATTAGTGTAGTAGCCTATGTATTAGCCACAGTTTCATTTTCCAATCAGAGGAGTTTGCTAGATTAGTTTAGATTAGTTTATTGTAGTATTCACTTGCTGGTGGGGCCTACCATGTAAATCAAAATGAGGTAGGCCAACAATCTTATAACTACTTTACAGTTCACTGAAGCAACTAGGCTTAAAATCTAATACATGACAAAAGCAAAATATAAAAGAACGCAACCCAATAAATAAACTATGGTGACAATCACGGAAGTTGTATTAATATCTTAGAACTCATCTGAAAACATTGTCATGAATATGTTATGGATAGAGAGATAGTTTGTGTCAAGTCAAACAGGCCAAAGCAAACAGTTGATAGCATCATTTAACTCTCATTTCTTTACTGTACTGTGCAGTATTTCTCTGTTGGATGGCAATCTTACGGCTTATAAATCAAATATCTTCTTAATGGCTGACATGTATTTTTTTATCTGGGCCTTTTTTCGCCAAGTTAGTCTTTTAGTGGAAATGTAAATAATATATTTATTTGAAATTTTAATATTGCCACAAGAGCCAGGCCCATGACTCAAATGAGTGAAGATATGTTGATTATATGGTTACTGCTCTTTTGGGAGGTATTACTTCAAATAGGTGCAATGTGCTTAACATTCACCTGTTTGTGGCAATTTTGTGAATTCATTTGATATATTTGGTGACATTTTACATGCAACATGAGAAGACTGTTGCTCTCTTTATTCTTCCTTCACTCCCTACTTTTTCCAGGAAATGTAATTATTATTTGTTGTTGTAATTATTGCTTGTACAGAGCCCCTCCTGCAGCTCACTCCATACCTTCCTGCAGAGACTGTCTGTATTAGTAAGATTTCAACACCTTGTCTTCCCCTGTTTCTACTTATGCCCAGAAAAAAAGATAAAGAAAAAAGAAAAGGGTCCCATAGTGGAAAGAAGGAGACTGACATAAAGGTGCAGACAAGGTAACAAATCAGGAAAAAAAGGTGGTAAGAATGTGTGATATACGCAGCTCTGACAGGCTGCACTGCCAGAGAGGAAACGTCTGCCTTCATATTCTCCACTTTCAGGTCTTTTTAAAGTCTGCGTCCTTCCCTGTGTTTGGACTTTAACGCACACGGGGGGAAGACGGGAGCAAAGTGCAGCGACATTTGAAGTAGGCTAAAACAAAAAGCAAGAGTGACAAGAAAACCCAGAAGGAAAGAGACACGGAGGTGAGACCGAAATGGAAATGGAATTATGAAGGTATCTTGCAATGTTTTCATACCCCCACCCCCACCACTCACACACACACACACACTCTCTCTCTGTCTCTCGAGCTCTCTCTCCCACTTCCCTCTATTTTTATTATTCAGGACGCTACCCCTGTCGTTTATGGCTACGTAAGATTTATGAGTTTTCTCGCACCCAGCAGCGTGTGTGTGTGTGTGTGTGTGTGTGTGTGTGTGTGTGTGTGTGTGTGTGTAAACAGCCCAACTTTAAAACAGATAGCATTCGCTGTGGGCTGCTGAAATGAGAGGATGAGCTCCGTGTAGGTGGAAGGTGGGAGCCTGAAATGTGTCTGTCTGCAGGAGTTTCTTCAAACCAGCCTTTGTACGGACTAAAGGATCTGCTAACTGCTGCTGAAAAACCTCATTACTCATTAACCAAACCACAAATCAGCTATTTTTTTTTGTCTCTGTCTGTCCTTTTTTCCCCCTCCCCCACTGAGCAACAGTGTGGAAAGAGAAATGCATATAGAGAAATAAGCAGCGCGGATTATATGTATGTATTGACTTGTAAAAGCACGCCGGTGCTTGTAAAGGATGGCAGTTATTCTTTATTTTCCTTGGATGGCAGACGCTCCATCGACGGCTCCGTGTTTCGGATTGAGTCACGGATATTGGATTTCACAACTGAAACTCTGTGCCTCGCAGAGCCATGGAAATCCTCATTCCATTGTTTTTCTTTTTTCCCCCAGCACTTCAGACATGTAGGTCACTGAGGATGACACAAAGGAATTTCCTCCGACTGCTGGATTTAAAATCATACTTTGCCCACAGTGTACCGTGTGGAAACACTGTTGCTTCACGCATGAAGAATGGAGAACAATTTGTAATGTGTGTTCCTCTATGTGATCTGAAGGAAAATAACGTAAAGCATTTCTACAAGTGTGGCCTACTGTGTGCTGCTGTTAGCGCTAGTTTCATTGCCATTACTGTCGTTATTAGGCTGCTGGTAGTGTTAGCATTAGTGTCATTATTGCCGTTACAAAGTGCTGTTTTAGTAACTGTCTTCATCAAATGATGAACCGACCCTGGTGTGTTTCCTGTTGCGGCTATAACCCGCGGCCACCACAATGCCCTTCACACCTCTCATAATGTTTCATTAGCACGTGTCACACATGATATTACACCACTCACACACACGTACACTCACACACACACATGCACGTAACATTTCGCACACATTCAGCTGATCCTTTCAACAAATTACAGTCTATTTTTAAATTAAACTAGGCTAATTATGTAAAGTAAATCGTTTATTAATGTAACAAAATCACCGGTATCCTCAAACACTTCACACATAATTTATGCGTTCACATTATATTTGCATTTTGTCTGCACTGTTTATGCAAACAGTGAAATTCCAACGACATTGCGTATACATTTAAATAATAATAATAATAGGCCCAATAATAATAATAATAGGCCTAATAATAGGCCTGATAATAATAATAATAATAATAAATAATAATAATAATAATTGGCATAATAATAATAATAATAATAATAATAATAATAATAATAATAATAATAATAATAAATGCATGACAAATGTGGCAGGGCTAAAAAGCAGTGCAAAAAACAGACTGTCAGACTTTCAAAGAAAACCAAATGATCACTGCCCATGGTTTTTGAGACAGGCTGTGTGGCGTTTTCAGCAGATTTAATAGTCTGAACTTAAAGAATTCAGCATAAAGTCACAGAACTCGCCTCACGTGCAGCTAGCCTAGGAGTGTTGTAAAAGAAATCGCCACATTCTCTCCGGTCTGATAACGTGTCGATGGATTAGGCCACACTAGCACGGACTTGAAGCCTCTTTCTAACGCTGCATATCACAATAAATAAAGTCAAACGGTGGGACTTACCGAAAGATTTCTTCTTATTTTCTGATGTTTTGAAGGGAAAAAACGGCTTCCAGAAAGCTCCTAGGAACTGCAGGATAAAGGGCGGGGGAAAGGGGGAGATAGAGGGAGGAAAAAAGATAGGGAAGAAAGAGATCGAGATATGTAATCAAAAGGTCTTGGTAAAATCCGATACAGAGCACAGACCTCTTGTAGTCTAATCGAACGTTTGGGACAGGAGCCACCGCTGACAGCTAGCCTACTGCTTAAATTAATCCCGGAGAAAAATCCCGGAATAAAAGCAAGAAGAGCAGAGAGAGGGATGAAGGCTGGCTGAGAGCGACCAGAGATCTTATTGATTCTGGTTATCCTATTACACATCCTATTATATTTTGCATGTGTTTCCTGTGTTTTAACACGGGGGAAATCTCTGATCTGGGTTGCCTGCCGTTGGGAAAGTCTTTAACATTTAACAGCTCCATCCCATCAGTAATGCATTTGATGTCGGAATGGAGGGATAAAAATGTTCTATAAAAAATGAAACAGTACTGTGGAATTAGCTCATGGAATAATACAATAATGTTTGAGGGTGTAATTCTAAAAATATATATAATAAAAGAGATTAAATAATGATAAATAATTAAAATAAAAAAATAGCCTGTTTGCTTGATCAGCCGTAATTAGGAAATAGCCTAATAGCTGGAACCTGATGTGAGAACATTAATATATAAATTCATGCATTAATAGGCCTACACCAAGCACAAACAGCTAGAAAAAAAAATGTCAATGAATGTCTAAAATAGAAAAACAACATGCATGGGATAAGTCAAAATCCTGATTCCGATTACTTTTAATCATATATATATCAAATATATGCTATATAATTTAAATCCTGTGTGAAACCCCTTAACGTTACATACACACACGCATATCAGCTCTGCATTAATAGGCTACTGGACGAATCCATAACAATCACAGTAAGAATGTCTTCTAAAACAAACGGCCCGACAAGAAAATAAATGAGAAGCACACGAAAAGGAGAAGCGGCCCCATAAGGCGAACAGCTGTTTCCCAGCGGCTCTGCATCCACGCAGGCCATAAATAACTTCAGCATCACTCCGAGAGAACACTAACATCCCCGGCAACATTTAATGTTATTGCCGGCTATCCTCATGTGGGCTGAGCACCCAGAGCAGGAGAACGCATCCCGGCCGGCCAGACAGACTCTCGTCGATATGCATTCATCCACTGCTGCATGCGGTAGTAAACATTCTTTAAAGGTGTTTAATTGTTTAATGGCATCCACTACGGCAGGATGAAAAGCGCTCTCCGTGTTGTTGCAAAGAGGCTGTTCTATATTATTAAAGTGCTGGAATAAAAGCTCTGGGCTGCGCTGCTTCTGTTTCTGCTCCTGACAGCCTCCCCCAAACACATAAATCAAAAGCAAGGATCCACCGACCTCCCCGTACCAGCCTACACCACCACCACCACCACCACCACCACCTCCACTACTACTTCTACTACTACTATAAATTATTTATTGTTTTCGTCCATGCACTCACGCGCAGCTCTGGCTGCCGTCCATCCCCGTCGCAGCAACAGCCGGGGTTTCCTCCCTGTGTCCCCCCCTCAGCCCCGCGGGTGAGTCGGAAGTTTGGAGCTACGGAGCAGGAGTGGACTAGTCTAAAGTTGCCCAGAAAGTGATGCAGGGCCTGACTAGCTTAGCCAGCTAGCCTATAGGCCGAGACAAAGGGAGGAGGCCGCCTCCAGAGCCCCAGAACAGCTGATGAGCCAAATTTTGAGTGGAAGAGGAGGCTGGGGCAGAGAGGAGGACTTTCAGATGAAATCAGTGCTCCTCATGGAGCCGCACGATCCTGAATCCAAATGAAACAATGTAGATGAGTGTTTTTCTCAGGTTGGATGAAGTGAAAGTTTGAAATTAAGGATGGAGCAACTGCATAAAAAGCTCATGGAGGCAACAAAGGGTCTGTCTGTCTGTGCATAATCTTAATGAAATATTTATAAAAATGTATAGAATAGAAAAGTGATTGAGCTTTAGTATACTGGGGGATGATGGGCTATCAGTATACACAATTACACAAATAAAGCTATTTTGTGATACTGG